CCAAACAGAAGACGCGGCCCGTACACTGTTTAATATTTGAGAGTCTAATTTAAATCAGTTTCTTGACTTCAATAATATTTAGTTACTTTTAATTATCATGTGTATCGAAATTTACTATTTTAACACAAAACATTGTGTTTAAGTTAAATTATTTAACTCCATTATCTTACTTATCTTAGCTAATTAACGACATATTTAGTAGGAGCAATGGCAACTTATAGGAATAGTTAAATTACTCAAATATATTAATTTGACATTACGGATTTAACAGTGCACGTACACAAGAAGCAGCCATGCATGCGCGTACATTATACATGTATGTTGACAGTTCAAGCGCTAAGCGTACTTGGCTCCTCTTTCTGTACGTAGAAGCCGCGTGCCCAGCATCGCTGCCGTGACGGTCACTGTGAAAAGAATAACGTGTGCACGAGAGAAAGAGATGGAACGTCATATATCTACTTCCTTCTGTTACTCGTCGCCCGACGTTCAGAGCGCACACGTACACGGACGCATATACGGTGCTTCCATTTCCATATGCTAGCAAACGGCCCACCTCTCTGGCCTATGAAATTGACCCGCGAGCAATCGTCCATTTTCTTCGCCGGCCGCGGCGAGCCGTATGTCCCGCCCGTTGCGTCGCGCGCTCTAATTTGTCCAACTATTTTTATTAATATCTCGAAATTTTACGTGGTTGTTTGAAAAATGACGTCTACAATTTTTGTTCAGTTTTATCTGTTCTACTTATATTTTTCTTTTGGCGTGTCTTATGCGGGACACCCTGTATATTTAAAATTCCCTGTATATTTAAAATTCCCAGAACCCATTAAACCAATGACTCAAACAGATTCATTATATATGTTGCGAAAAAACTGCCTCCGCCAGGACTCGAACCTGGAACTTACACCTTAGAGAATTTATAAGCATTGTGTTGCGAGATTACTGTTGAAGCCTCGATGGCCGAATGGAAAAGCGTCCCGCCCAGAAAGGGAGGTGGGGAGGTTCCAGGTTCGAGTCCTGGCGAAGGCAGTTTTTTCACAACATATATATAATGAATCTATTTGAGTCATGGGTTTTAATAGGTTCTGGGAATTTTAAATATATATATATATATATATATATATATTTAAAATTCCCAGAACCTATTAAAACCCATGACTCAAATAGATTCATTATATATATGTTGTGAAAAAACTGCCTTCGCCAGGACTCGAACCTGGAACCTCCCCACCTCCCTTTCTGGGCGGGACGCTTTTCCATTCGGCCATCGAGGCTTCAACAGTAATCTCGCAACACAATGCTTATAAATTCTCTAAGGTGTAAGTTCCAGGTTCGAGTCCTGGCGGAGGCAGTTTTTTCGCAACATATATAATGAATCTGTTTGAGTCATTGGTTTAATGGGTTCTGGGAATTTTAAATATACAGGGAATTTTAAATATACAGGGTGTCCCGCATAAGACACGCCAAAAGAAAAATATAAGTAGAACAGATAAAACTGAACAAAAATTGTAGACGTCATTTTTCAAACAACCACGTAAAATTTCGAGATATTAATAAAAATAGTTGGACAAATTAGAGCGCGCGACGCAACGGGCGGGACATACGGCTCGCCGCGGCCGGCGAAGAAAATGGACGATTGCTCGCGGGTCAATTTCATAGGCCAGAGAGGTGGGCCGTT